AGTGATAGTATGTGATGACGCTGCTATAATAAGGAGATTCTTTGGCTCTCGCATAGCGATGATGACATAATCTCTGAGTTGTGGTGGTGGCTCCAGAAATCATTGTGGGGTTCTGAAATTTTAGTCCTAGAATTTTTTTATAATTAATTGTTGTTGGCACTTAATGCCTTCTAGATATCGAAAAAGGGGCGGCCGAACTAAGGCCAAGGCTATTCAGGAAAATTTCGTTGACATTAATAATTCCGAAAAAAGTCTTGAAGTCGTCTCTCAGCCAATTCGTCCTTTTTCTCCTTTTCCTGTCGGTCATGGGTTTGATGAACCCATTCTAAATTCTTGGGAAGAATTTTCCCAACATTTTGAAAATCTGCTGCAGAAAGCAGAAACGGAAATTAAGCGCGCAAAAGCACTGCGTGCCGCAGGTAAGTCAAATTGAGTAATTTCTGTAGTGGTTGTAACACGATATGTCACTCTCTTCCCGCAATATCAATTTGCAAGAGCGGCTTCCCCATGCCGTAGAAATACATGAACGACTCGTCTTATCGCCGTATGAAATTCTAGTTGACACCAATGTGAGATATAATTATATTATGAATTATGTTTTAGATTACCCTTTCTATCCACCTAGAACAATTGGTATTCACCGAATTTGTAATACGGATTTAAAAATTGTGGGCGTGGCTTCTTTACTTGTCAATGGAAAAGAAATTGATTTCTTTTGTGTTGGTGGGTATCAGTTGGAAAATTCGCCAGCCTACCCGGGCATCTTAGGTTTCGAAGGAGCCCGCGACACAGGTCTTATTTCGCGCTTCTCACGTTTCCATCCTCGTCAACCACTAAATTAATATCATTTTGCTCACATGGAAAAATTACATTATTTCGTTTCTTATAACCCGAAATTTCCGCTTGTAAAAGGAGGCATAATTAATAGAGAAGAATTAAAAAATACCTCTCTGACTCTATTAAGGTCAGCCGATATTCTTACTAGTACCACGAAACGGGCTCTAAGAGTAACAAGAATCGACCCTTTGGAAAGTCATAGAGTGGTTTTTATTAAAGGAAGTTCCTTTCAGTAAAATTATGACAATCCAAATTGATCCTTTAATAGGATCCCTTGTTAATATTACGTCTAGTAAATTAAAAAATTTTACTTACCAATTTCCGGTTGATATTAAGCACAAACATAATTATATTTGCGAAACATTCCTCGCATCCGATTGTGCTATCCACTCCATACCCGACGGAAGTTGCATTAAAGGTGAATACGTTGAAATTTTAGGAACAGTAACACTTCCGGTAAATGACATTCCAATCACATTCCAAGTGGTCAGTCAATTTTTCTCGAGTCAAGTGAATCTGGCGATAGGTTTTATTGGATACAGGGGTGCCAGAGATTCTTTTCTTCTCCCCGATTAATTGTAAAATTTCCTTACGATAATTCCATCCTTTCTTACCTTAAGTTCAATGACAGATTTTCACCAAGTCCATTGTGTCGAGACACGTAAGCCTTAAAAATAGATTCTTCGTTAGGAGTACTCTATTTTCAAGGCTAGTGACTCTTCCTCGCCGTGGCAAGTACTAACTACTGGCTCCGGAAAGTTTTCTTGCTGCATCTAAGTGATTTTCTCAAAAAGGAAAATTGAATTAGGAAAGAAAGCTTCACCGTTTATCTTTCCTAATTCTTTACACTAGTCTGCGCAGCTTTTAGTACAGAGCCCTAGTTATGGAACGTTGAACGTTGCTTGAGGCCGTTATAATTGACATAATGTAAGGGGTGCAGAGACTGAAAAATTGAAATTAAAAATCCTCATAAAAAAAAAAAAAAAAAATTTTCGATGTCGTCCAAATCGCCAAAACCTGGAGCCTCAAAAGCAAAAACTAAACGAGGGAAAAGATCAGGAATTTTTCGCTCCTGTGAAAATAAAATTCTACCCGGAACGCTCCAATACAAGCTCGTGAAAAACCCAACTTCTAGAATTTATTATAACCTCATAAATCCTCCAATACGTCATACGCCAATTTGTCGTGTAAAACCCATGCCGCGCCCCCCTCCAATTTTACCGGTACCAGAACCGGAATTTGAAATTATAGACCTTGCAATTGAGGACGCTTTGGCCATCCGACAGGTTGCTATTGCGGAGGAGAGAAACAATCGAACCTTGAGAATCAATGAGGGATATCCTGTCCCAGGACCCTCAAGGAATATACCCACACCCTTGGTAAATCTAAATCCACTAATCAGAGACGATGACCTTGAAATAATCTTTGATAGTGCAATTAACGAGGTTCTTGGTTATGATAGTGACGCCACTGTGACATACGAAACAAATTGATTCTTTATTTAATTTTGTTAACATGAGATATTTGGTAAGGTATAACAAGAGCCTTTTAATATCGCCACCAGAAATTTTAAATAGAAAGGAAATCAGTCACAACGAACAAAGAATGAACTACTCTACTTCGACTAGACGAGATTTCTCGAACTTCTAGATAGCGCCACTTCACAGCCCGTTTTCAGGTACTCCGGATGAAAAATCACCTTGAATACGCCTAGTCGGGAAATAAGGATAAGACTCTGTAGAGTAGTTTAAGCTTTCCCAGATGAAAATTGCTCTAACCTTGCCCAAGTTAACGTCAATTTACTTCAAGCAGTATACATATACATAAAGAATAAAACAAAAAAAAAAAGAAGGGGGAGTTGCGAAATTTCTCCCTCCTCACACTGAATTCATTGTTCTGTATAATAAATAACATAGTTGTGGACCATCAAGACCATAAGACTCGCAACCTTGGACCGAAGTACATTATACCGTGAGTGATTTTTATATTGTAATAAAAATTGGGCTTTAAGCAGGTATTCGTGTAATAAATACCTCAAAGTTAAATTATGACCTACAACGCCCTAACCCCACCACTACCGAGTGCGGGACCCCCACTTCCAAACGCTAGTGCACCGGTCGCAAGAATAGTGCGAAGACCAAACGGTAGAATTGTCATTTCGTTCTCGACACTCAACCGAAGCAGGTTGCATTTTGAACAGCTCTTGAGAGTCGCGCCCCTCGGTCAATAACCCGTGTACTATTGTTCCGATTTCACTTTAGCTTATTTTAATTATATTTTAATTTAATTTTATTTTTAATTGGCTTAATTGCGCTTCGTTACTGCTACTCCATTTCGAGCTCGCTTAAAATTTGCTCTCGTTATCAGGAATATTCCGCGGTGGTGAAAATAAATATTTTCATTCCTTTTCAATTCCTTTTCAACAATTAACATTTTCGATTCTCGTGTTACCTATCACATTAACAAGATGCCTGATAATACGCTCGGTGCGTGCTCTAGTAACGGGTTAAATCCCAATTTGACACTTCCTGCTCCGAACGCTAATCCTGACACCACAGCCGCAATGACATCGGTCTTGGAATGTATGACATTGCAGCAATGTACATATCATATTCCATTCTTTGACGGGCGAAATCCGCCTCTTAAGGAATTTTTACAAGACGTGGCAAATGGGGGTGTGTTCGTGACAGATGCTACTGAACCAGGCTTTATTCGTGCGGTACTTAGCAAATTAAAGGGCGCGGCTAGAGAAAGTGTCCGAGATAAACAATTCGAGGGAATTAACGATTTAGTTAAACATCTAAAAAAACGTTTTGCTTCTTCCAAAAAATACCAATGGTATTTAGAAAATATAATTAACAACCGTCTAAAACAAACAGAAACCGTTAGTGATTATCACGACAGATTGCAAGGGCTGCTGAGCGGAGCTAGGCATGCCCTTGAAACAAAGTACAACTCGCAGTACCGAAAAATAGATGGTGGAGCTGTCCGAGTACAGAACACCCCGGAAAGAGAGATTATGATGTGGCCGATAATCGACTGTGCCTTAGAAGCGTTCATTCGAGGCCTCCCCGAGGAGATGTCTACATTTGTAGATACGCGAAATCCGACAAACCTCGAAGAAGCATTTGAGCATGCCCTTCGCGCAGAAGAGCGGCACAAATATACATCTCGGGGCTCCTCCTATCATATTTCTCGCTCCGAAGAGCATCCCCGTCCTCCTAGTCCGTACTCTCGTCAGGTCGAAAGAAATCCAAATTCTTTTACCTCTGATAAGCGCAAAGTAGGAAGTGATAAGGAGTCAAACCCTGCTAAAACCCCACGGAATCCAACCAATGAAGTTCTTCAATTCACCCCAGAACAATTGGCAACCTTTTATCGATCAATGATGCCGCAATATGCCGCATTCCCGCCACAAATTCCGTCAATGATGTACCCGCCACCCCCGGTGCTACAAAACCCTACCCCTTATCCTCCTATTTCTAACCCTCAATATCAGTCTCCACCACAATCGTCTTCGGGTTACCAAAGACAAGAAAACAATTACAAAACTAGCAGCACTCCTCCTAGAGCTGCCTCTCCTGGTCCTCAAGGAAATTTAAACTTCAACCCGGCCCGGCGTTTCGACGCAACACCGAGCCCAGTCCCACAGCGTCAACGATCAGTCCAGTTTGCGGACAACTCCATAAAGTCTTACGAGCAGGAGGACAGGTCCAGGACTCCCCAGTAGTCCGACTTGCTGCACCTGAATTCCGACTCCCAAATATCAACCTTCTTGTTGACCCAGGATCTGATACCAACTTGATCAAATTATGTGCTCTGAAACTTGATCTCACGCTTGACCCGAGCAAGCGTGTTGAGATGAGAGGTATCACAAATCACACGGTAAAGACGCTTGGCACCATTAATATCACTATAAAAGATTCTCCTGTCGAATTCCACGTGGTAAGGAACAGTTTTCCTCTTTCCACGCATGGAATTCTGGGGCGACCCTACCTACGACTAGAGAAAGCCACGCTCTCGTTTTGACACAACACCCTGGTCACTATCTCCAATCCAGTGACCCCTATCCCTTTTGTGGATAAGGAATCACTGACGGAAAGAGAGATCTTAAAACCCTTAATTAAACCTTTCAAAAGGGTTTTTCGAATTCAGGCGCGGACTAGAAATCCTATTGCTATTGATGTCACCAACCCTGAATTACATCAAGGGTACCTTCCTCGAATTAAAACACCTGAGGGAGTATATCTAGGTGAAGCAGCAGTAAATAGTAAAGACGGAGTTTGTCACGTAATGGCAATTAACACCACTGAAAATGACATCGACTTGGAATTGGCTCCTCAAGAATTAATTCCTTTTGATTTTTGTGAATCACTAGGGGATGAAGAATATGACTCCGAACCTGAAAATCCTACCCCACAAGCAAATTCGTATTCTGAACGAATCCAAAAGGTTAAGGACGCTCTTTTCTTATCTCATTTAAATTGGGAAGAAAAGATGTATGTCCTTAATTGGGCTGAAGATTTTGCTGACATTTTTCATCTTAACGGAGAGCAACTAAGTTGCACTCACTTAATCCAACATAGAATCCCTACCACCGACGATAAGGTCATTCACAAAAAGCAATACCGATCTCCCAATGAAGCCCTAGAACAAATTGATGAACAATTAACCAAACAGTTCAATAGCTGCATCATTGGACATTCTAGCTCCCCATATAATTCCCCTTTACTTATTGTACCTAAGAAACTTGACGCTTCTGGTAAAAGAAAGTGGAGGGTAGTTATTGACTACAGAGCATTGAATGAGAAGGTCATAGGGGATGCTTTTCCCCTTCCTAACATCTCAGGAATTTTTGACAAGCTCGGAACTGCGAGGTTCTTTACAGTTTTCGACCTTGCCAGCGGATTCCATCAAATCGAAACCCACCCCGATGACCGACATAAAACAGCTTTTTCCTCTCTAAATGGGCATTTCGAATATAAGCGAATGCCCATGGGAATAAAAAACGCTCCCCCAACCTTCCAGCGTCTCTTAAATAATGTTTTGGGTGGAATGCTTGATTCAGAAGCCTTTGTGTACCTTGACGATATCATTATATATTCGGATACCCTTGAGGAACACGATAGGCGTGCTCGAAGACTATTTAGTAGACTTAGAGCTGCAAATCTGAAACTCCAACCCGACAAATGCGAATTCCTGAAAAAGGAAGTGGCCTACCTTGGCCATATTGTCGGTAAGGATGGAGTAAAACCGAATCCTGCCAAAATTCTGGCTATAAAGCAATTTCCGGTACCGAAAACTCAAAAAGAAGTTCGTAGTTTTCTTGGCCTTTCAGGATACTATAGGCGTTTTATTAAAGACTATGCCAAAGTAGCGAAGCCATTATCCGATTTGTTAAAGAAAACTGCTGACTGGAAATGGGAGGACGCACAACAACAAAGCTTTAAAGATCTTAGAAAATATCTATGTCGAAAACCCATCCTGCAGTACCCCGACTTCGAAAAACCGTTTAAACTTACGACTGATGCTTCTCAGCATGCCATTGGTTCGATGTTAACTCAGGAGGTAGACGGAATCGATCTTCCCGTCGCATACTATTCCAAGGTTTTAAATGCCGCTGAACAAAATTACCTCAAGGAAGAAAAAGAGTGCCTAGCCGTTTTGTATTCTTTGGAACACTTTCGACCCTATTTATACGGCCCAGAATTTGTCCTGTCATGCGATTGCGAACCGGTTCATTGGATGAATTATGTCGAAAATCCAGGTACTCGGCTCCAAAAATGGCGGTTGAAACTTCGTGGATATCGCTATAAATTTGAGTATAAACCAGGCAAAATTAGTAGAATTGTTGAGGCCCTGTCAAACCATCCTGTTAACGCTAATGACCCTGAAAAGAAGGACGTAGAATCCCCCGAATCAGAATGGACCGATTCATCTGAGGAATCTAGTCAGGATAAACAGAGTGAACCTAGTATTGAACCTCAAAATAGTTCACCCCCACTACGTGCCCTGCCTATTACACAAACAGATACTCAAGCAAAAAGTAGTGAAAGTGCGCGAGTGAATTCGGGAAACAATCAAGACAATACCGGATCCTCTCAATCAAGTGCACCCCAAAGACTCCTGACAAGATCACAGAGCCTTCACACGAAAACACCTGCTCCACGATTTAATCCGATTCCTAATCCTACAAGAGAAAAGAGGGATAACCCGCCATCTTCAAAGCTGACGAGACCACCATGGGGAGCGAGACAACCACCACCTCCACCGGCGACATCTCGAGCAACAAAATCCACAGGATCCACGAAAAAACCAACTCTAGCGACAGAATCACGACCTGTAATAAAATCAAAATCCGTACGTGCAAGTGCAGATAATTTTCCTGTCCCTGGAACATCAGCAGCAACAAATCCACCTGCTGCCAGACCTCGAGGAAGACCTCCAGGATCTACTAAATTAAAGGAACAAGGAGACGAAGACACTTACGTTCCCCCTACAGGAACGAAGGATGTTGATCCCAACATCAGTAGCATTGCAAAACGGCTAAGAAAAAGAAAGTTGGAAATTCAAGAAAAAGCTCTACCCGAAGAAAATCAATCATCTTCTTCCGACGAACCCGCTTCAGAAAGCGAAAATGAAGAGACATCTGAAGCTCCCGTTTTCCGCGCTGATCATAGTGTTTTCCCTAGTGTTCCCCCGCATATAACATCGAGAATATCATCTCCAGAGGAGAACATTCCGTCAACTTCTCAACCTGCCATTCCCAATCCACTGATTCCATACATCGACGTTTACGTAGATGGCGCTTGTTGCGACAACGGAGGAGTCCGTCCACGTGCTGGAATTGGTGTGTGGTTTGGACCACACAATCCACTTAACATCTCCAAGCGATATGGAGGTCGGCAGACCAACAATGCCTCTGAAATCGAAGCAGCTGTAGCAGCAATCAAGCAGGCAAAAAGAGCCGGATTCCAACATCTCAAGATTAAATCCGACTCGAAGTCCCTCGTCCAAGGAGTCCAGGAATGGCTTCCAAAATGGCAGCAAAATGGCTGGAAAACAAATGAGAATAAGCCAGTGAAAAATAAAAGTGCATATGAGCGACTACTTAAGGCAATGAAAAAGACAGACGTTATTTGGGAACACGTACCTGGTCATAATGGAGTCGACGGAAACGAAAATGCTGATCGTTTGGCAAGAGAAGGCGCGATGCTTGAACTAGCCTCAGAATCCAGCTCCTCTGACTCTTCAGATGAGGAACATGTCGAAGAAACACCCTCGGAACCAGTGGTCGTCGTAGGACCTCCCAGGCCAGTTGACAGCGAAGAAAGCTTCGAATCCTCTTCTGATACCGAGGTTGAACGTGAGTCAACGATTCCAAACGTTTCATGCAATCAATCGTCTCAACTAGTCGAACCTTCAGTAAATGCAGGAGCAACCCAATCTTATATCTACGATCAAACTCTAATGTGGGATAATGAATTTATGAACAAAACCCAAAGAAGTAGAGCCTATGTATCGGAAGGAGAAAACGATGAAGAATATCTTGAGCAATTAAAAGCTATGGATCCATGCGAAGAAACCAATGACGATGTTTTTGCAGAACGAGTTAACAAATTTTTGGAAAGCTTCAATAAAAATCGGGGAAATGCAAGATCACCGGAACAGGAACTCGACACTCAGGCAATACCTTCCACCATTGTTCCCTCAACATCTGAAACTTTGAAAGATACTCCCATGACGAGCCATCCCTTGTCTCGGGAAACGCGAAGTGTTGTACGATTTCAAGAATTACCAGAAGTCATCGAAGAAAATAGTGCCAATTTTCCAGTTTTCACCCCAGGGTCTTCAACAGCCCCAGGAGCACAGTCAACCCCATTTACCCGGTTTCGAAAGGAAGATGTAACCAAACCAGACGAAAATAAACGGAAACCAAATATTGTGCCTCGCCGACTACAATCCACAGTGAACGATTTACCATCTCAAGAACACTCTGTGCCGCGAGTTCGATCCTCAATAGACATTAAGATTTCCGACATAGAATCCTCTTCGTCATCTTCACCTGAACCTATAGAAATTCCTATCGCTGACAAAGACAACGCTAAAGTCGAAAATATCCTCCATCAATGGGCAGAGCCATTGACCTTCAAGAGAGACAATTATGCGCATTTCATAGCTGAAGATTGTGAGCCAGTTGATTCTATTTCTAAACTTCTCATTGCTACAGAAAAGATTGACGTACAAGATATACGAGACAGTAAACTAAAAAAAGGTCAAGTACACGTCACCCTTTGTGGCAAATATCGAGTTTATTCCATTGTAGTTAAAAAACGACATTTCGACGAACTTGACTGGAATGACGTTACATTAAGTCTAAAAAACTTAAAACACGCTTTAATTCTTGACAACCAAATACATTGCCGTATGGCCAATTCTGGAGACTTGCTAGGAAATTTGCCTCAAAACACCATGGCGGACATCTTAGCAGGAATATTCCGCGGTGGTGATATCAAAATCACTCTTTGTCACGGAAAAATTGAAGTTCCTGCTGAGAAGCTACGCCCAAAAATTATTGCCGAATTTCATGGCAGCCTTATCGGGGGCCATAAGGGCATAACGAAAACCTACCGACGTATCCGTGAGCGTTATTATTGGAATAGGATGCGAGACGAGGTCACACAGTTTGTTCGACGATGCAAAAGTTGCCTCGAAAACAAACTAGTTAGGGCCCGAACTCGGGAACCTATGCTAATAACAGACACTCCAGCGATTCCTTTCGACAAAGTGTCCTTAGACACTGTAGGGAAATTAAGAACAACCCCTAATGGGAATCGTTATATCCTCACAATGCAGGATAATTTAACAAAGTATTGTATCGCAGTGGCTATCCCCGACATTAAAACTACGACCATTGCACAAGCTGTAGCAACGAATCTTTTCTCTCTGTATGGAGCACCACGTTGTGTGCTTACGGATAGAGGGGGAAGTTTCATTAGTTCTCTGATGCGGAAGTTAGAACGAATTTTCGGTACTAAACAAATCACAACTTCAGGTTACCGCCCTCAAACTAACGGAGCTTTGGAAAGAAGCCACATTGAGCTCACGGATTATATCAAACATTATGCAAACGATTTTGACGATTGGGATTCTTTTACTTCCGTTTGCGATGTTCAATTATAACACGTCAGTCCATGAGGCAACTAACTTTACGCCATACGAGTTAGTTTTTGGTCGAATGGCCCGTATACCGAGTTCGTTTCCGCAAGACCCTGAATTGGAAACTTACGGTGTATATCTGAGAGATTTAATAGTTAGATTGCACGAGCTTCAGAACTTGGCTGCCCAAAGATTGATCCAAGCAAAAGAACGATCCAAGGAGCGGTATGATCTGAAGGCTCGGCCTTCTAAGGTTAAGATCGGCGATCAGGTTAACACGTATACAGAAGTAAGATCCAATAAATTTGATTCTCGTGCTAACGGTCCATATTCTGTAGTCGGATTGACCCAGAATAATAATGTCATTCTGGAGGATGAAACTGGCGAACAATTCATAAAACATCTCGACAAGATAATGGTTACCCATTTGTAACCATTATCTCATATCCAAGTCATCACTAAAAGAATTTTTGATTTCAGATAAACAATGATGACGAAAGCATGGCTCTCAACAATCCTGTTCCTGTTTCCCCTTTTGACGACAGATGCGGATTTGAGCAAGGGCATAGATGAGGATTCACTGCATGGAGAGGAGTATAACATATCACCATTCAACATCAGTAGTGGAGCCTATTTTGAACATGTGTCAGAAGTCCGCAGATCAACTAGCCAATGGAGAGTGACGGTATTCTTGGACATCGCCAAACAGCAACGACATTTCAACGATTTGAAAGCTCGATTAGAAAGGATGAGAGAATTATGCCTTAAGCAGGAAAGATGGTGCAATGGCCCTCCAGATTCTTTCAATTGGGAAGGCAAATGGGAAATGGTCGCAGAGCTACAAAATCAGTTCCAAATTCAAATCCTAGAACTACAAAACACTAATTCTAGATTTCCCCAAAAACTATAATCTCAATTAAGAATCCAGCGGAGTGTACCACTGCTCGGATTCTTGGGCAAAATTGCAGGGCCTGTAGCCGGCGTTCTCAATTATGACGACGGAGAGCGCTATGATGCCGAAATAAGAGACCTTAACGATGCCCAAGCCAATCTTTCACATCTTGTCGGGAAGCAGACGCACATTGTCCGATCTCAATTAGATACTCTTCACACGCAGTATCAGCGCCATGACATCCGAATAGGGCAAATTGAACAAGACCTGCAAAATCTATCATCTAGATTCGACACTTTTGTACCTATGCAAGAAGAATTATCACGAAGAGATATGGTGTTTTCTATCCTCACCGGAATAAAACTTGGATTGGATCATAACGTTCAAATTACATCCACTATGTTGGACGCAGTACATGATGCTAGACGAGGCTTATTACATCCCGGAATCATCTCTTCCGAACAATTGGAGCCAATCCTACGCGATATTCAAGACAACCTGACAGATGTTCGTTTTCCACTACGTGGTCCCAAGATCAACATCGACGAGCTAATCAGGATAGCGACGACTTCCATTTGGTGCGAATTCGATAATATAAAAATTCTCATCGATATTCCATTATTAGAAAACTATCGCTATCAGGCATTCAAGATCCATCCACTCCCTACCATTCAAAAATTGGGGAGCGGACTCCAGAGAGCATATGTGAGTTCAGAGCATGATTATCTTGTTATGGATGACGCCAAAAGGACCTATCTTTTCCTTAGTGAAGAAGAATGGAAAAGCTGTAGAACAACAGCTGCTTACCACGCTTGTTTAGAAGGTGTACCCATTTATGATCTCCATGAAAGACCAGCATGCGAACCAAAACTTTTAATCAAACCCACCATAGAAGATATGAGATCCTGCCCAATCAGGATAACCTCAACCCAAAACTCTTACTGGAGACCATTAAGAACATTGGCCTCCTGGCTCTATTCCTTTGCAAGGACGGAAATCATCACTATCTTCTGTCACTCTATGAATCCAGTAGAGCATAACCTGACAGGTGTAGGAATCATGAAATTAGCACCTGGATGCTCTATCCACACCCAAGATGTCACCATCCCCGCCAATCCTGCACAAAAAGGTCAATCAGAGTTAATCTACGGAGCAGAGGTACACTTAGACCTCTTGGAAATATCACCTCTTATATCAACGCACGCTGATTTTGCCCTTGCATTGGAAAATCAACGAAATGAAATGAGTAACCCTCATTCAAAAATGTCCAGTTTTGACTCTAATTCAAAAACTCTAGACGAATTAGAACAGGAGTTACAAGCATTCGCAGTTCAACGTCATCTTAAGGATAAACAAACGACCCTAACCTACGGTTCGTACGGAGGACTGACTGCAATCATCATCTGCATCATACTGTATTTATGCAGAAAACCAATCTCAAATGGGGCCTATACTATCCCAACAGTCGTTAGGCCAAAACAAAAACAACCAAAAATTGGATCTAATTTTCGGACCGAATTAAATGAAACCTATTCATCGCCACAAAATCCTAGAGGTTGCAATCCAACATCCTTGCAGGACCATGTCAATATTGAAGTTCGGAATTCAACCTCATACAACTCTAAACCAAATCAGGAACCTTCAACATCAATGATGGACGTGGGGTCACTGGAGACCCCTAGTACTTCTACCTCAGGGGAGGTCAAAGCACTACAAGCATCAGAAGATACTGAAACAATTATGCCATCAGCAGCCCAGCGAATAAAAGTCGTGCTGCCACCTCAAAAACTACAACCAGCGTAACTTGCTTAAAATACTAACCATGCGAATAGTTAAAAGAAATTTATATATATATATATATATATATATCCTCGCTAAGGAATTGACTGACTAAAAGTAAATCAAGAGTTATTAAACTATCTTGATACGTATATATTCGGTACATTACAAAGTTTAAAAATACTAAAGTTAAAAAAAAACAAAAATAAAAAATAAAAAAAAAAAAAAAAAAAAATAATAATAATAATAAAAAAAAAATAAATAAATAAATAGGGGAAAAACAGAGTGCGTAATTTGTTATTAGTACGATTAAATTATGTGAGAAATAATTAAAATATTAATTGATTAATTTAACTAGGGATAGGAGTCTGTACCGCGACATACATTGTAGCGCGGATCTTGGTGTTCAAGATGAATGTATAAGCGACTCCTTAACACCTATGCGAGAACACTACAGCAATCCGCTACCGTTTCTATGCCATGCGTTTATATCTCTATGTATGATCCATGTTGAGCTCAAGAGCTTTGAGTTTTTCGGGGACGATAAACGGAATTCCACGGTGGTTTGTAACGTCGTAACTTAACAATTAATTTATTAATATTAAATTAATATTAAATTAATCTTTTTTTTTATTTGTAAATTCCAATTGTCTTGGACTCGCTTTATTTCCGACAGCAAGTCCAAGACCCGCGCTATCGCCATGGAATTTCATGCGTCAGCATCCCCGGTATAACGAATTATATACCTATTGCTCTTTTATAATTGCGAAACATTCAGTAAACTCTATTTCGAAATAAAATTCTTTCTTTTAACCCTTGAATTCAACATGGGTCATTGACATTACCATGCATTATTATTATTATTAAAATTATATTTGATATTCAATTACCTGTCCCCAAATAATAAACATCGGAGTAAATCCGGATAACTTACGCAGAGTCGCAGGTCATCGGATATCCATAGACATCCTCGCGGAATGGATATAAAGTTAATACAAGAACATGAAATTGTAAAAATATGTCTTTGTATTAACTATTTTATTATTATAATTTTAGATATACAAATAAGTATACTAAATTAGAACAGGTACAAAATTTGGAATTAATCGAACGAAAATTTGAAAATTAAAAATTACGGCATCGAAATTAAAATAATATTTTTCACATTGATGAGTGGGGGTCCCACTGAACGCGTTCAGTGAAGGCTCCCCGCGCATCCCTGGGAGTTGCGCGAGAGAGAAACAAGATTCTTTTTACTTGCGAATCTTTCTCTCTCAACCTCGTTACGATTGCGCTCTCACTCAGCCGTATGACGTTCTCTCTTAGATTCACTACCATTACGCGTCTTTTTCTATTTAATGGCTGTCGCAATGAAATTGGACGTTGGCTCTCTCGCGCTCGTGTAAGACATAGGCTACGAGAACCAATACCAACATGGACTGGAGACGGCTACACTGTATGCCATATCCAACCTCACCTCTACATTCTTATTCTCTTGACCATAGTTCCTTTTCCTTGCCTCCCTACTTTCCTCTCAGGTCTAAAAGCTACGCTACATGTGCTATTGGAATCAAAGCACATGCGTTTATTTATTTTCATTTCAACTTATCAATTCCGGACCAATTTTGGGAATGAATTAAAATCAAAATCATTTCAACCCAATACCGGAATTGCAACGAGAATATAATGGCATATTATTTTATATTGTGTGACCATTGGAATTTCCCTCTAAAGGAAAACTCATTTTCCAATAAATTCACAATCTATAAAATTCAACAAAATTATAAATTAACATTGTTTTAAAAAATAAAACAAAACTGTTTTATTTCGGAATTTAATTTTCTATATAACTGCATTGAGCAATTGTCTCTCAAATGCAGAATCGACAAAATTAACGTAGCAACACAAGTCTTTGACCTGAGCTTCTTCCACCAATGAACCAATTTTTCAAATTCAGCAAAACTTTCCCACCTATGTTCCATAAGCATACCTATAAGGCGTTTCCAGCCCATAATTCCACGTTCAGTTCGGTTTCGGCGATCGCGAAGATTAGTCGCGACATATCGATTAAAAATCCAGACGGGCCCGTCCGGTAAAAGGGACACAACTTTTCTTGCGTGCTTACCCAAGAATTGTTGGTCGGACGTAAACTAAAATTCTATATACCCGTAGTCCACGGGGCCGCTTGGAATCGTGTCGAATTAAAATATTATCGTCAAAATGGATCTTTTTGCAGTGATAATAATTTTGTGGTGACACCGGCCGGAATCGTGTAGAGCCCGCGTCCGTTTTCGATGCGACGGTCCCAAGAAAAATCTAGCATAACTAACAAAGACAATATTTGAAGTGAAGT